ATTTCAAACCCCTATTTAAAAAGCCAGTTTAACTCTGGCAGCGAGATAGTTATCATGACTATCAAAAGATATATATTTTTTACTTCATTATTAAAAATTAAAAAATTAAATTAATTTTAATTATCGGACTTGTATGATTTCCTATTCCTTGTATTATCAATTATTTTAATAAAAAATGTTGCTGCAATCTTTTTTGAAGAAAAAAGCCGAATTTGGAAGGTTATAATAGACAGAATATTCAATGCTGTTAAAAAATCTCGGTGGAATTCCAATCCAATGTTGGCGAATTAGTTTTTTATTAACAGATTCACATTGACGTTCAACATCCTTTATAATTTATAAAATAATTTTTTAAATGAGATAAATGGTTTAGTTTGAATTACCAAATAAATTCATTATATAAAAAACTAATAATCGATTAAAATGGTAGAACTTTCTTCCTCAGCTACGTTACAATTGATATTTTTTATTCAAATATTTATTTTGGTAAAGCAGCATCATGCATGATCTATTTAACAAAGACTAAATTTGTTGAACATAAATATGTGATATCAAATAACGAGGTTTGTTTGTTTTTTATTTGGACTCAAATATCCCAAAAGTAAAGTTAAGCACGGAAAGCAAAAAGAAAACATAAAAATTGGGAAAATAAGGCAAAGGCACTTTGACAAATGGTTTTGAATCAGATGAACTAGAATATTAATATTATCTGGTGGTAAATACCCCTCACGAGGTCCATTCTTCTTTTTCCTGGGGTCTTGACCCATTTCTCTGGATTAAACCTTATGAGGTTTATGCAAATGAGATTGATAGTGCTATAATTCCTGAATTCCATGGTAGATCTTTAACGATTAATTGATTGTTTTACCATAAATGGTATTCGTTTGGAGCGACTTGGACTTATGTAGATTAATTCGTATATTCTAATTTTAAATTTCCTTGTTTCTATTATTGAAAAGAGCGGAGTTACCCTATGTGGTAACTATCCATTGTGTTGTTGTAGATCAATTATAAAAAACAAAAACGCCAAAAAAAAACAATTGAATATTATTGGACAAAGAATTGTTTGTTTGAAAAATCATGTATTACAGATTTTTATACATATAAATAATCAATCCATTTCTTTTTTTTTTCTTGACTGTGCTCAAGACTGCCTATGGCATCTCACTTAGTGGGGTGTCCGTGGTAGTTCATCAGATGGGACCCTTGTATAGGCCTCTCGGTTGGCTTCAATCATATATAAGAGTGAGCTTGCAAGGTGGCATAAAGCTTCCACTTATTATTACAGTCTCCACCCCGATTCTGCAGAATGCTGTTCAGTAAGGCGGTACTGATAATGCATGTTTGTCCCCACAAGTAATTTAGACTGGCAACTGATTATTTGCTTGGCGACACTATGGAAGAAGGGCAGGAATTCACGGAAGAGCCATGTACCAACTGAGGCACGGAATTGGGCGTGCCACGTCACATTCATTATGGTTTGGGCACGACATTAAGCACGCGTTGGTTGGAGCGTGTCACAATATTTTTACTAGATCTAGCAAATATTTGTTCGGTTCTCTTTTAAATATTCAATTATTGGCAATGTTTTTGGGTCACTCAACAAAAATTTGACTGGCTTGTCTAAGAATGTTTTATCCTTCGATTGGGAAACATCAATGGTGGGCGAAGCTAACATTTAAATCGGAAATTGTATTTGGCTTAACCATACAATGAGTAAGTATTTCACATCATGATATAATATTTTAGATTGTTATCTACCCGCGGTATTTTAAATGATGGCAATTGGAAAATGTCCACAAATTAAGCGAAGCAATTGAATGAAGCATTAATTTAATCAAAGGTTTTTTTACGTGACTCTTGGGGTTTTCACTCTTTAGTATTTTTGATCAAGGAGAAATATGGTAAACGTTTAGCTTGTGATCTATGTATTTATAATATTCCAGAATTATTGACTCAAGAATGGACTATTGACGGATTAATAGAAAAGTACACAACCAGAAGCAACATTTAATAAAAATTGATTTTATTTTAAAGGTAAAAAAAATTCTAATAAAAAAGATCTTGTGGAAAGTTGGACTTTCAGTAACGTTGTTCACTTTCAAAATTGTCTTTAATTTCTAAAAACTTTGAAAGTCAAAAAAGAATAGCAGTCTGAACAAACAAATTTATTTATATTGTCAATTATTTGTTTAATGGTAAATATGACCAGAGTTTCCTCTTTATCATATACGCCTAAAAATCCCTTAGACATCTATTTAATTAAGCTATATTAAATTGTTTAATAATAAATTTATTATTCTTGAAAAAATAATTTTTTATAAAAATGTAATAATACCGTTATCTCTATCGTTTACCACATTTTAAACCCAAACCACCTTCGTCTTCAACTTTGACAACACGAATACTAACAATTTCAGGTGAAGGATTAAGCCTAAAGTCCAGGTTTGGATACATGGCAACATCGCCGTACGAATCAATCTTAATTAAAAAATGACTTTTCAAAGTATCTTTTTAATATTTTTAACATTGTTCAAATGCTTGTTTTTAGTATTAGTAGTAAATTCTGCCCAACCGACCAAGATTTGTACATTCCACTATTATTGTTAACGATAATTTATATATTATGGGTGGTTTCTCTAATGGTCGGCTATCAAAAGAATTTTTTCTCTTGATTTGTCACAAGCATTTGATGCAACAACTTCGCCATGGAAGGATTTAACTGCAACCTCGCGCCATTGTCGGTATTAATATCATGGGCTACAGCTAGTTCTAACACTAATAATGATATAATATTTTTATTTGATGGTATCATGTTTGATACTGTAACTGGTGAATTGAGTTTGAAAATGTGGTTTATATCCATGATTTTAAAAGCAACCAATGGTTAGTAAACCAGGTGTAAATACCTATATAGACTATTGATTGACCATGAAACAAATATACAAAATGAAAAAAACCAATTTTTTTAAATGATGATAAGAAAAAAATTATCATTATTATTTACCATATACAGCTGTATGTCCAATACAGGGATCAATATTTGGACCACAAACTATAACCTGTGTTAATTAATAATTACCATTACACCCCAGGTGTCAGCTATAGTATCGTATATATATAATGTAAGCTTTTTTTAAATAAATGATAAATTGATATTGAATTAATAACTAAACATTTATTATTAATCATTATAGTTATTATTTATTACCTTATTCATGAGAGCTCCACGTATATCTCAGTAGATTCTCTTCCACCAATAAAAACGACCAATCCATAGCAATCAATACAGCAGCATGGTCAATTCTAGAAGGTGGCATATTTATACCAGTTGTTCCAATTGGGCTCCAGGATAAATCATCTCCATGTAGAATAAAAAAATCTTTAAAATATTTTACAGTAGGAATACTCACATCATGCACTCCACCATGAATATACAATTTGCCAGCAAATGGATCACTAACGCTTGAAAATTCTCTACGTGTTTCAGGTGCAATTCCTTGAAGAGCCAGGTGACATTAGGATCAACATCTAATCATGAATTAGTTGTGTTAGACACAACAGCAAACAATTTTAAATGGAATATACCTCAGTAACAATACCAGAATTTGCTATCAACTCGCTTACACGCCATAAAGCAAACTTAATTGGAGATTATATGATTGTAAAATTTAGTAATTAAATAAATTAATTAATAAAAGTGATGATAATTATGACAATATATTAAATTATTTATGTATCTAACAAATAAAGCTGGGCCACCTGTTGAAACGAGTAATTCAATTAAAATATGATAAATAGTAAAAGCATACCTATCTGGTGGTTTTGGAAGGAGCTCAAGCCTAAGGAATCATGAAGACAAAATCAAATTAGAAAATGAGGTCAAGTATTTGTTGGTGAATTACTTAATATAGCTAATTACAAATGGGTAAAATCATTTCCTGGTCTATTTCCTAGCAATATAACATCAACAGCAATTTCACCTTCACCGAGTCCTGCACCGCCATCACCTTAACGGTTTCAGCAATTGTGATTTCAGTTTGTCTTACTTTGATTATTTCTGTATCAATCGGTATTTTCCTTTTATATCGTATAAAATTGTATGAATATTGGTGATTGCTAAATAGAAATAGACAAAAAAGGACGTATAAGGATCTTTATCATCTTTAATAATGCTTCATCATCAGCTTGTAGCACGAAAATGATGTCTTTTCCTCCTCCACCTCCTCCACCTTCTTCTCAAAGGTCAAAGTATTTTTCACAACAACACCATCATTAATATCATCATCTAATAGTCAAAGTCCTTCAAACCATAATTCTGTTTATAATTTGTTTTAATAGCAATAACAATTTCAACAACAAAAACAATACTAGCTCACCTTCAATGTTATATATTGATCCTGCATCATAAAATTTACCAATGATTACTACACAACCCCAACAAATTCGATATATGGTAGTGATATCAACAACAACAATAATAATTATTACACCATAAATGTATAGTCTACCTAAATTTGGTCCAACAACAACAACAGCAATTACAATTACAACAATTTCAAACATTAACAATTATCTTACTAATTGATAAACATGAACCACCACAGGAGTAATTCGTTTACCACTTACAAAATTACCTTTATCTAATACTTTTGCACATTTCTCAATAATGATCAAAACGTGCCGGACCAAGCATAACTTCATCATACCATTTAGAAACAATAATAATAATTACCACATTTTTAACATCCAATGATTTTAATAAATTTAAAACTCGGATTTTTCACCATCATCAATAAATTCTAAAATTTTATACTTATAATTGTCTGCTGTCTTTCTTTATGATAAAGTTCTCCAAAATTATTATTATTATTATTATTATTATTATTATTATTATTATTATTATTATTATTAATCTTCTTCAATTGTTGTTCCGCCATCGTCTTTCTTCATTCTATATGCTGTGTGTTGCAGTATTGTTTTCTCTCTCCATTTCATCCTTAAACAGCTCGACTTGTTTCTAATTTTCTACGCATTTTGGCATATGCTATAAATACACTTTTACGATCTTTGATTTGTTCACTTTCATGATCTCCATTTTTTTACTGATGATACTGACCTTCAGAATCTGAAACGTAGTTTTCATCATGATTATTATTATTGCTACCTAGGGAAATTGCTTTTTTTAAAAAAGTAATAATAATACGGAGGAAGTAATAATTCAAGTAAATCTACAAAATAATAATAATAATATAAATAGTTTAGGTTCATTAATAAAAATATGTCTAAAGTAATATTGCGACTGATATTATCACATTGACAAGACATGTTCTTGATGAACAACGTAAACATAAGGATGCAAGTGGTGATTGTTAAATGCAACTCAATTTGGTTGCAAATTTGTAGCTACTAATGTTAGAAGAGCTAGACTTTTGAATTAGCAAATAATAAATAATAATAATTAATAATTGATAAGAGCGGTAATTGTCCTCCTTCCCTTCTACCACCTTCCCAAATAATTCAGAGCTGGACCTGTAGGTGGTTCAACAAATATTTCAGGTGAAGAATAAAACATTTTGATGTGTCTCCAATGGGATGCCTGTTAATACACTTTGTTCATCTGGTAAAGCTGCTGTAATGGTTTCAGAAGATGATAAACATACAATTATTGTTAAGCATTGTTTTTGATCCATTAAATGGATTTTCTAATATTGATGTAAATGTTGGTACAATTTTTGGATATTTATAGAACGGTAAATAGTCAATTAGTAACTATTTGACGCGCAAAAGTTTAAAATTTTTATTATTAAATTATTAATTTTAGCGCGAAGGAAGTTAATATTATTACATGATTTATTTTTTTCTTACTCATCCTAATGTAAACATTAATACATCTAATTAATCTATCCATCCAATTATTATAGTTAGTTGATTTATTTATTTCCTCGATCACTCTCGCTCAACTAACACAGATCATAATTCCATCTCGTGGAAAGATATGTTCAATAAGTGAGGGAAATGAAAAATATTGATATGAACCATGTAAGAAACATTTCGATTCTCGGTAAAAATCCTTATTCAACTCGTTACATTGGTTCAATTCTGTTATACAGTGAAATATCCGCATATCCAGGTGACAAAAAATCAAAAAATGGCAAGCTTCGTATCTTGTATGAATTGTCTTTTTGGCTGAACAAAATGGTGAGTGGCAAGTTACAGATGGTAGGAAACGAGTGCTTGATATTGTACTGGAATCTATTCATTCCGGATGTCCTATTTTTCTTGGGTAGCAAAGATGATGTTGAAAATATAGAAAAATTCTATGCTGATTTCAAAGAGAGGCAATGAAATGAAATGAAAACCAAATAAAAATTTTTTCTACGATTATTTAATTTGAAATGAAAAAATTTAAGCCTGAAATATCGAGCATTAGATCTCTTTCACTTGATGATAATATAAATTTTCGTGTTCACAAAATATTTATGCGAACAAAAAAAATTATATATCATTATTATTTTTATTATTATTATTATTACTAAATGAATATATAAAATTAAGAAAGACGAAAAGTTAGTATAGACTATTACTATCTTTATTTTGTACTTTCCATGAATCTATAATAGTAATAGACTTACATGTAGATCCTTTCTGCTAACACCTGTATATTAAAAAAAATGATGATTAGATTTATTTTTTTTGGAAACTTGTTAATAATAACAAAAAAGTTTACATTTTCTACATATATAATAATGTTAATATTAATTAATATTGGTGATTTTATCAATTTACTTGTTATCTTTAATTGTTGCAACAAGCTTTCATGTAAAAATCATTTGTCAATTCCTGTTATAATAGCATCTTTAACATTCAAAATGTTGTCATGATTGAAAAAATCAACAGAAACTAGAATAAAAAGAACACAAAAAGAAATAGAAAAAGATTTCAAACCTTTCATATGGGCACTATTTCACTAAGATAATTTGAGTTGCACTAATGATAAAATCATCAACTCTACCAACTTTACTGACTCAATTAAAAAAAGGAACAAATAAATCTTAAATCATATTTATTGTCAAGATTATTTAGCCTTCTTGAAATGTTTCAAATTTGAGAGGTCTGCTTAATATTCATGGAATCATTCACCATCTCAATATCTGATAGACCATATGTTCTGAGAATAATGGACTATATAACTGCATCATTAAATTGGCATCATCATCACCACCATCACAACTGCTCCTAATGGATCAAACATTAGATCACATATCATTATCAGCATCTGCATCATTTGTTACTTAATCAACAATATTATTATATAGTATATTTCTATATATTAATATGAATTCTATTTATGAACAACTTCTCTTAATATCAGCAGGTTCATGGAAAATATTTCATCACCAATCACAAATAAATTGTTATTATTATTAAATGCTACTAATAATACCAATAATAATAATATTGCAAATATTCTTTTCTCTGTATCTCTTCAATGATTTCTATTAAAAACAACAACAATAATAGCAAGGATTAGGAATTGGTTGAGGAGGACATTATTTGAATCAGAGCCATTATTTAATAAAGCATGATTATCATCAAACCCAAAAGATTTATGGAGTGAAGGGTACGTATACATACATACACATGCACATGCATAGATATAACTTCTAACTCTAAATCTTTTTAAATTATTTATAATATCTATTTGACTTTGAATTTAGGTGGCATCAAATATTTAATGAAAGTTTTAAAGAATTAGGCTATTATTCAAAAATTTTTTAGCATCACTATTTCCAAATTATTGCAAAGGGTTATTGGAAATATATTAGGATTGTTTGCAAGTTTTTTATGTAGTGGAACATTTACATTTGACATTTTTTTTGTTTCGTGGATTGTTGATGGTAATGTGGAAATTTGATTCAAAATATAGAAGAAAAACTTTATTATCAGAAAAATTTTATCATCATAAACTTCATCACCAATAATAAACATCTATGGAATTTATAATTTGGAATTCAATTTTTAATTTTTACAATTCCTTGGTTTATAGAAGATGTGTTATAAATTCCTAAATCTGAAATAGTTTCAAATTTAAGTAAACCAGAACTCATTTTCATTTTGCCATCAGCAATTTGCATTCCTTGATTAAAAGTTAAAATTATTAATGTGATATATGAGAAATTCCTTATTATTATTATGATTATAATAATTACCATATGGCTCTTCTGAGTTATTTAATTTGTTTATCATTGTTTTTTGATCTAATTAAATATATTTTTATTTATTATTATGAATGACCATAATAAAATTAAGCAATTTAAGAAAAAAATGATAAATACTTTTGAAATGATTATAAACTATAATCTTTTTTATTGATATTTTGGTTGAATGAAGGTGGTTGTTGCTGTGGCAAAGTTACTGAGTTATAAGGATATGGTGATGATGAATTTGAAGGAAAGTTAATAGGCTGGAGAATGTGTTGATTGAGATTGTTGTTGAGCTGATGAATATTGTCCTTGTTGATGTTGCTGTCGATAATTATGATGTCCTTGTTGATAATTATTGTGGCAATGTTGCCATCGTTGTTGTCCTTTTTGTTGCTGTGTTCTTGTTCTTGTTTTGCCATTTTTAATTTATGTTCTTCTTGTGATTGAAATGAATTACTAGTATTGGTATCAGTGGTTGGAGAGGTTGATCCGAATAAACATCCATATCTTATTTACTATAAGAATTCAAAAATTATATGGAATAATTTTATTTTTTCTAGTTTAAATAGTATATTTATTATCTGTAATAATCACATAATGATGTCAATCATATATTATATTATACATATTAATAATTAAAAATCAAAACTCAAATAAAATGATTTTTTCAAAAAATTTTATCATCTTCTTCTCTGTTATTCTTTATTGCTTTGTAAGCTTGATCATGGCATTGATGATGATAGTGGTATAAATGAAAAGAAATTACGAATGATAATATGTAACTAGCAGCTATGAAGAAATTTAGAATCATACATATGGTGTACATGTAACATAAGATTGAATATTCAGTAGGAACTGAGCTGATTTCTGCGCATTGTATTGGAAGTGCTGTTAATTTCTGATAAGTTGTTGATTTATAATTGATACCTTTAATTGATTGAAAAAAAAAATATACAAGTGAATTAATTTAATTGCAATTTAATTTGTGATTTTTCGAAAAAACAAAAAAGCAAGACATACTTGTAAGTATCCATACAACGAATAGTCCACTAGATGATTATAATTTTTAGAAAAAAATTGAATCATTGATTAATTAATGAATTAATTAAATGCTTTGACTAAAAACAAGAAATCTCTAATTAAATAAACTGTTTACCTGTCAATAAAATAATCTTTTTTATATGGACCACTTTTTAATCTTTTCTTATAAAATATAATAAAATATCCTAATAATAAAAAATAATCATTAATTAATTATTATCGTCATTAAATCATAATAATCATTAACCATTATCATCATCATTGTCATTATTTAATTAATTTACCTATGATCAGCACAGACGTAATGACAACTGTAAAATAAAGCCATTTCACTGCATAATAACTATTAACATGGTTAATGAATAGAACAAAAAATAAATAAAAAAACAGTAATTAAATATGTAATTTGAGAGATTGAAATAATAAAAAAGGAACTTACTATCGAATTTTATTATAATAATAAGTAGTATAATATGTAACAATAACTGACTTATGTAATAATACCCAAAACACTATTTGCGTTATTTCTGTGTGGAAATAAGAAAATTAATATCCATTATATCAATTATCAGTTATTGATATCAGTTATTTACCTAATCCAAATGCTATAATTGAGAATAAAATTTGAAATAATCTTAAAATCAATAAATGATTTGTTTTTTTCGTATTAATATTCATTTATGTATATTTACAATAAATATATAATATAATAATATATATTTTTTTTTTTGAATTTTTTTAAAATCAAAGCCGTATTTATACATATTTGATATTGTTTACTGAATAATTGGATAATTACATCAAATTTGTGTAGCATAGTGGACATTTTCGTCGATCATATTTGATTGGTTAAAAATTGTCACCAAGATATCACGTGAAATTTGATTTGATTGGCTAATGATTAGTGTTGAAAATCCAGTGTGGGGAATGTGAGGAGTAACATTACACACCAATCAAAATTTTAATTTTTGAATATATATATATATATATATAGTTTCTAAATTTGTAATAGTTACACAACGAAATTTCAACACTGCTAATGCAGTCAGGGATATTTCCATAGATGGAAATACTAAATACCGTAATGATCGATTGTATGAAAAATTCTAGAAGAAATTCTGATTGGCTAAATTCAATCAGGGATAATACCCTGTAATCATCGACATCATGAAAAGAAATTCTAATTGGCTAAATTCTGTGCAGATCTTTTCGTTGAATAAAAAATAATAATCTTTATTCTTTCAATTATTATAAACCGATTTATTTTTAGAAAATGTAACATAGATATAACAAAGAAGTATCCCTGACTGTAATGATTATATATATCAATTTGATAATTTAGAATTTTCCTGAAATATTTTCTATTGATTAATGGTTACATACCAACTCTTTTCGGATCAGATCGTTTAACCATCTAAAGCTACATCAAATAGTATAATAATAATTTTGGCGACCGCGCAAAATACCAAATGCAAAATTGAATATCTTGTTATGTGAATGACATTGTAAAATAAAAATAAAATAAATCTTATTATTTATCATTACCCATTAATATAATAAAGAAATATGTATGTTTCCTTGATATTTTATTCGAAAAATATGTTAGGAACCTACATTATTTTGAAAAAAATCTAGTTAAATATTTTTGTTACTATAGATTGCCATTAACACTTTCAGGTTTATTATAATTAATATGATTAATATGAAAATTTTACAATTTTACAACATCAATATGAACAAATTAAATCGTATTGTTTAATCTCTTATCACCTTCTCTATAAATAAATGTATATATAACCTTTCAATTGATGGATACCTTTAATTATAAGATAACAATTAGAATTAAATATTTCATTATTATAAATATTTTTCTATTCTTTATATATATAGTACCCACTTTTTATAATAAAAAAGTCATTGTGTTTAATTCTTCGTTTTGGAAAATTCATTATACACTTGCATTTCTTAATGCAATGCTATTAAACAAGTTTTATGAGTCTCTTTAAAACTTATTAACCATATGAAAGATTAAGGTATTTTACACTTACTCGACCACCTACCTATCTTCAGCTTTGAAGAAAAAAGTAACAATGTTTTTAAATAGTCGTAGCTTTCTTTATACAGAGAATTCCACACAAGATATTTGTTAAAAAATTTTAATGGTGTGCAGTTTTACTTTATCTTTAACAGCAAAGTTCAAGTTTATTTTTTATTTTTATTTTTAAAAAAAACAAAATCGAGAAAATATGTTTGGTATCTCATCTTAGAAATAAAGCTACACATTGTTTGTCCTAGAATATAATCTGGCATACATTCACCATATTCCAAGGTGACACTACAAATATGTTCAAGTATTGGATTACCTGTTTCTCTTCACCAATCAAGATATTTATTTACCTGGGATCAATCTTGGGCCTTTTAATTAATAATTATTATAATCATATTGGCTACTATTTAAACAACTTTACTTGTTGGTAATAATTGGTTTCTATTGATTATTTTAGAATAAAATAAAAAAAAACAAGACAAAAAAAAATCCACGAATGATTCAAATATCATCACAAAATTTATGTTGTGAATGCCATTCAAGCATTGTAAGTAATTTTAATGAATTGTTAATTTTAGAGATTAATTGGCTAATTAATATTCATTATATATTCTCTGTAGTATAAGGCGGGTAGATATATATGGTCGAAATTATATAATCCCAAGTACAAGTGAAGATTGGTGGTCAGCGAATATTATTAACCCCTTGATCGAATTCTGTTATTTTGATCAGGGGTTAAAACTGACATGGTTCAAGAGAAAGAAGCAAAGACCGGGAAAGGTATAATTTATTTGTTGATTGACATTAAGAAAGGTATTACAAATAATATAGTCACCTACTCACATTCCTCCTGTGCTGCCTCACAAAACTTTTGTTAGCTCAGATAAAGCCAACAAAAAAATCATGACACATTTTTAACAACAAATATACTTATTATCTTCTTGATCTTCTGATATGTAGGTTTCAATCGCCTAATGATTGAATGCTATTTGATTTCTAAACAAGCTACCAATCCAAAGAGAACATTCAAAGAACAAAAGGATTCTGTTATAAAAGAATCAATTCCAAAATTTGGTTTTTATTATTTGAAAATAAATCAATTCGCATTCATTATAAATTTAAAATAAAATAAAAAGCAATTAGATACACATATAACTCACGGTTAATACTAACCAGAATGCTGGCTGATTTTAAATAACCATCTGAATGATGTCCGATTAATTAAATAAAGTTCAACCAGATATTCATTATAGCATATCGATTGAAATAAAATAAAGAATCAATGTGAATGTTTTAATCAATTAATATCAATTAGTAAACCAAAAGGTATTCGATTAGACTTTGAAATTGCTGCCAAAATAACCTGATTACTTACCGAATGATGCCATAAATTGACACAATCAGCATGTTACAACAATCTATCTATTGTATATTGAGTAGCCAATTACGACCTCTGATTTGATATCATTCTACTAGTGGCATTCACTCTCCGATTCCTCTTCTGTCAATTCGATTTCTTTTAAACTGAACTAAGGCTTTCTCCATTTTATTCTTGTTCAAGCTGATTGTGACGGTTAAAATGTTAGAATAAGATTGTAGATAATTAAATAGAGAATATGGAAAGGCAAGTATTTGATGATATAAATTATGGCAAAAGATCAAATATTTATAGGTATGAATGAATTGTTCCATATCTAAAATGACACATATTTATATAAATTTCTTTGTTCTTAATTCTTTATGAACTAATTTCCTGTTATAAAAAACATATCTTTCCTTTATGAATAAAATATAACATAAACTTTGCCATTGATGAAAGGACTCTCTGCAATAATTTGCCATTCTTCTGGTAAGTTTATTAGTATTAGTATTCTCAATAAAACAATAGTTATTGAATTTGCATTTGATTAAGTTTCATCTCCTTTATTAATATATCTCTATTACCATAGTTAACAAAGGCATAAAAAGTAAATATAGATGGAAGATTCCTGTGAATTGTATTTTTATATTAAAACAAAACTAATAAAAAAATACTATTTCAATATAAAAAATGAATTAATATTTATTCCTTTTTTATTATTATCTTTATCCGAGTTCTTTTAGAAATCCAATGCTTGTTTAAAAGTGATTTCAAACCCCGATTTAAAAGCCAGCTTAACTCTGGCAGCGAGATAGTTATCATGACTATCACCAGCTACCATTGAAAGATATATATTTTTTACTTCATGGACTTGTATAATTTCTTATTCCTTGTATTAACAATTACTTTAATAAAAATTGTTGCTGCAATCTTTTTTGAAGAGAAAAGCCAAATTCATTGACAATATTTCTATATATAAAATTCAACAAAATGCTAGCTTGAAAACTTTACTATCATTATAATGACAAAAATGTATGTAATAAATAAATACACCTACAACACAAATGCTTTTATATCAATATCTGAATGACAAACTTGGAGGAAAAGATATCCTACACAAAATTAAACGTTTTTGTTCATAAATTATATACTTATAGAATGTTGGAAAGCTCGCATTGGACTTTGTGTCTTGGTATTACCCAATTTATCATCTAACATTCATTATATAGATTATCCAACATAAATTATAAAGTAACAGATAGTTTAGAGTTAGAGATAAAAATTTTATTATGAATCTAATCTATCATAAAGAAGTAAACTTGAATTATTGACAATATGTGAATTGTTTACTTTTTGCATAATTAATAAACACATTCTAATAAAGTCTCGGTGACAAAAAATCGGATCGAGTCAATAGAAGTTACTAAAAGATCAAGAAGAAACAAATGAAGAAGAAGAGGAAGCACCAACTTTTGGTTTGAACATCAAAGAAGTACACAATAAATCAAAAATCTTTTTTGTTTCTTATATAATTTGCTATTTCTTTCTCTTTCTCATTATTATTAATGTGTTTTTGTAGATCGTTGGGATTCAATATCAATTTGATCTTTTGTATAGTTTAAAGGAAGGCTGAAAAAATTAACATAGAATGATATTGTTAATGTTTGTAAATATCATTTAGTTACGCGAGGATTTACTTTTAGGACTCTGTTTCACAATTGATGAATAGCTGATGGTTACCAACAGCAATCAATCTACGTAAACCTAAATGCCGATCTTTCTATATTCTTGTTTGGTTGATGGTGACGTATAAAGTGAGAATTGGTATTGGGGCTTGTTTTGAGCCTAAAGAATGCCTAGATTATAGTACAGTCAAGCCTCGTTATAATGGACCTTGCTATGACGGTATTTATTACACATGAAAATTAAATTACCAGTCGCGCGCGTTATAATGAATTTTATATGTGAAGGTAGCATTTAATGACGTTACACTCCGTTACAAAGAGAATTGACTGTATATTGTAACGAAAATTTTTTTTTGATAATTTGCAAGTTGACTCTTCAACATCTTTGTCGAAAAAAAATAAAAATGGATTTAAAAAAGCAAAAGATCTTTTCTTAATTGATACTTTTGCAAGTACAAGATTGTTCGGAGCTCGAAGATTTTGCATTATGTAGTTTTACAAATGATTTGATAAATCAAAAGGGCACCAAGCTGCCGTTTTTATATAATTATCGTGAAATTGTTTTGTTCGTTTGAAAATCTAGGGGATACTATTATTATAGAGTCATTTATAATGGTAAACCTTGAGTCTGACGGCACATATAGAATGTGGAGACAAAAATCGTTGATTTACTAGGATACACAAAGTCTCAAAAACCATAAATGTGTGATATACTTTGATGCGACATAGACAGACCATCCATGCCACTTTTAATATTTACGTCGACACACTTGATTGCATTGGAGGCACACAGGGCATTACATTTTTATCTTTGCTTTAAGTTTCATGGTATATTTTTGCAGGACATTCTTTTGTGTTTTCAGGGTTTGCATGAACAAGTAAAATAGTTGGCTGAAAATATAAATTCAAATACTTTTTCATAATCAAGAAAGTTACTGAAAACTTTTGATGAAAGTGATTGGTTTATTTAGAAAAGTTAAAACCTCCATCGGATATGGGCTTTAATATCAATATGTTAGTTACTAGAGAAATCAATAGATTTGAAAATTTTAATGAATCTTTTTAATTAAATTTTATAGTTTGTGTTATTTATCTACATTTATTAGATTTAGTGTTATGATTTAAACGGCTTTCACCGCTTGTACCATGAGCATTATAAGCCATTGTTGTTATTGATTGATTGTGTCCGCAAAAATTTTCTTTGTCTTTAAAATTGATGATTATCCATATAAAAAAAATATATACCAAGTAATCGTGTGTTATTATTATCAATCTTTTTTTTCTATAAATAGGGATATAAATAGATCAAATGATAGAATAAAAAAAAATTATTTATTTTTCTATTTAGAAAAAAATTAATGATGAGTAATAATAGAACCAGCATTTTGAGTGGAAATAATAATAACAATTATAATTATGAAGCAATACCAAACAGTTAACATAAATTTATATTTTAATATGATAGATATTAGATATATTAATTTAATTTAATTTTTAATTCTTTCTAAATTACTTTATTTGAAAAAGATTATTCGATTGTTGATGAAATTGGTAGTAATAATGAAGTGGGAAAAGGAGGGAAAGAATCTGATTGGAATGCATTTATTGGTTGTGTGTGAGTTTTATAATTATTATCATTACTATTATTAGTGAATAAGCATTATTAACTTCAATTTTCAATTTCCAAATAATCTCAGGTGTATTGTAGCAGGAGCAGGAACTTTGGGCATTCCCTATGCTATACAACAAGGTGGATGGATTACCATCTTGTTTTTGATTTTAGCAGCTGTAATGACAACTTATGCAAATATAAAATTCATTGAATGTTTATATTACAATGGGTAACTATTTTGTTATGTAATAATATCCAGTTAATTTCATGTATTTTGATTTTTTAACATCTGCATTTGATATAATAGGAGCAGTCGTAAGAATTCAATGTCTGAATTAGCATACGATGCATTTGGTAGAATCGGATTAGTGATGGTTGGATTTTTCTCTAGTTGTATAAGTGTTGGCACACCAATACTTTATTTGATATTGATTGGTGATAATTTGCAATTGATATTTTCTAAATTTGATTTTGGAATGAAAAATTGGATTTATTTGGTGGCAGGTATAATGTGCATTCCATACATACTATTAAAAACCATGAAAGATGTTGCATTATTGAGGTACATATGTTTTTAAAGAACTTTGTTTATAAAATTTTCTAATTTTTTTCTAATCAAAAAAAAATTTCAGTCTTTTTGGAGTGTTGACAGTTATTTTGGTTGTGTTTATTGTGGCAATAATTTCAATTATTGATTATCCTGATAACAGAGAGAATTTACATGATATAGTCATCATAAGATATTTACCAATTTCACTTGCAACTGTCAGTTTTAGTTATGGTGGAAATATAGTTTATCCTTATGTTGAAGCAAGGTAATTAAATATTCAATCAATTCATTTGTGATTAATTGATTAATTAATTAACAATTTTCTGCTCCTCTAATTTATTTAGCATGAAAAAACCACAAAACTGGCCAAAAGTACTCTCATATTCAATGTTTACAATTACAATGTTATATCTAATAATTGGATTTTTTGGTTATTTAACTTATGGAAATAATGTCAAATCACCAATTTATTTAAATTTACCTGATGGAATATTAATCAACATTATAATAATATCAATAACACTACATGTGATATTTGCATTGCCAATTTATCAGACAGCATCCTCATTGGAATTAGAAAATTATTTTAATATCAACGAGAATAAATTGGGTCGACTACGAGAATTCATTTATCGGTCATTGTTACGTATTGTAACTGCTGCCATGGAAGTTTATATTGCAATATCAATACCTTATTTTGCTGATGTTATGTCATTATTAGGTGCATTGGCTAATGGCACATTATTGGTTGTTATGCCATTATTGTTATGGTTGAGGTTTTTTGGATGGAGTAAATTGGAAAATAAAAATTGTGAAAAAGTTTGGATAATATTTACTTTAATGTTTTCAATAACAATTGCAATAATTGGAAGTTGTGATGCTATCATCTCAATATATAATGACATTTATAAATAAATAAATTATAGCAAATAAAATTATAAATTATTTAATTAACAATATATATATATATATATATATATATATATATATAGAAGGATATTATTGTAATGCCTATAAAAAAAAAATTAATAAATTAATAAATTAATAATTCACATTGCAATATATATCTACCATATTATAATATAACATATTATCACATTACCATAATAGCATTAATGATATCATTTTTGTTATTCTTTAGAGCTTTAACAGCTCTAGCACGAGAACAGTTCTAAAAATAATAAATAAATGTATAAATAAATAAAGTTTTACTTTTCCAACCTCATAATTCATCCCTAAACCTCTTCTTCCTTTACTACTCCTTACTTCTATACTTACAGTCTGTTGCATAACCAATTCAATATCTTTAGCTTCTACATTGGTTTCATCAATAGCCGTTGAATCTTCTTCGATTGATTCTTCGACTTTAACGATTTCTTTAGATGTAGCAGCAGCAGTTGTAGTTTCTGCAGAATTCTGAAATTGTTGCGCAGCATTTGCTTGAGCTTGAGAATTGAGGTCTTCGACCTTGGCCTCACCAAATACAATGTAACAATCAGAATTCGATGATTTGTAAACGTCAGCATTAGAAACAACAAAAAGCATCTAAATAATATAAAAAAGAATATTTAAAGAATTGTTAATTAATAATATTCAATAAATAAATAATAATTCTTTAATATGTTAATTAATTGATAATTTCAATCTTACATTTTTTGCTCTTTTGATTGTAACTCTAGTGATACCAGGAACAGGTACCAATCCCAACTTTTGCATTGCTTTTCGAGCTTTTTTCTCTCCACGAGTTTGATTTTTTGCAGAACCACCACCACCACCACCGCCAAGAATATTTTCAATATTCAATGATGAAATATCAGGTGGTAATACTCCTTGTTCTTCTGCTAGCTCGGGAATATCATCGTCATCTAAATCTGAGTCCTCCCCACTTTCAACTGTTGCATTTTTTTTAGCAGTACCGGTATCACCACTAGTAGTAATGGTGGCGGTGGTTGCCGATTTTTTATCATTATCATCTTGTTTTATACTTTCCTCTTCTACAATTTTACTATCTTTATTAGCATTTTCTTCGCTTTCTTGAATTATTGTATTATCATTATTTTTTTCTTCTGTTTTAATAGGAATATCTGACATTATTATCAATTGTTATCTTGATTATTTTGAACTTATTTTTTTATACACTCACCTGCCATAAATATCCGACCACCAGATTTGTGTAACGTCAAATGAACGGAGTCCTTACTAAAAAGTAACGTTTTCTTAAATAAAGCCTTTTTTACTTTACCAAGTAGACCTGTACTTGATATCAAAATATCTAAATTACAAAAGCTTCGAAAGGTTTGGCATGATATTAATGGAAACATTTAGCAAATAGTTTAAAAAAGCGAATTTTCAATCGGAATCTTTACATGTAATAAAGGTCAAATTTCTTCATTGTGATGTGTATTATTTCATTAATAAAATATGCTCAACGTAACAGGTTACATATATCTACAATATGGTGTTGGCATAAATTAGTTCGTGAAAAGGGTTTAAAAATATATCTGACCACCTCGTAATTTTATTATTATTATATAATAATAAAATACTTAATAAAGTTGACAAAATGCAAATTTTAAGGCTTTACGTTTTGTTGTCTATACTTGATCAAATTTTCTCAAATTTTAATCATATACAATTCAAGATATTTTAAGTGGACTTGCTTAATGACGTAATCCATTATTCAATGGAGTTTTGAAGGTTTCACTAAGCTCAAAGTTTTCATAAAAATCACGAAATTGTCTAATTTAAAATTTTCATCCTAAATTCATTAATAATGCAACTCAACAAGGCTTTAAGTTTATATGCAAATTAACTTTAAAAAAACATTTTTTTACTTTAAAAAGTGGAATATTCATTGAAAGATTAAATTTATTAAACTTAATGCCAGCAAGGGACAAATTAATTAGTGACAAAGTCATGGAGGTGATTTTATTCTAAATATTTTTTTCATTAACAGTATGGATTGGACTTGGGCAAGTAACATCTTTGTATTAATCTTTCACAAATGGCTTGCCTTTTGTAGTCCAAAGGAGATGGTGTTAACACTAAAATAGATAGAGCTTTAATCTCTTCAAAAATGTTGGCTTTCTTGGTTTTCAATAAATTGAATTCAGTAGAAGGTCCATTAGCAACTTTTTGAACTTTCACTGTACCAAGATTAGATGTTTCAAAAAGAAAAAGTTGATATTTCTGGTTTCTTAAAATTTGATATCCAAGCATTGAAAACCCTTTCCACCTTCACAGCATTGAGTTTTATTCAATCCGGCTGGACTAGATCTTTTTACCACATCAACCACATGATATACACACTCTCCCTATAAAAAATTTGGTATGGAAAATGTATGGAAAAATGTGAATTTCAGGTTCCATATAAATTCTGTACAGTTTTTCCATACATTTCCATGCCAAATTTTTTATAGGGTCTACCCTTGTTTCCTTATAAAGTTTTTTTATAAAACCAAAGCTACCATCACATTTGAATTTGGTATGTCCTGGAATTAAAGATGGCTCCTCAATTAATTGCAGCATATAAAAATTGAATTGTGGTTCCCATCTTTAGTCATATTACCTTTCTGATAATTGGATTAAAAGAGAATACACATCTTTTAGTATGATTAGTAGTAAGAGAGTTGAATTAATTAATAACCTTAATTGTTTCTCTCAAAATGTTGATATTAGATTTAGCCAAATTTCTGATTTACAAAACCGAGAACTTGAAATAATTTATATTTATATTATATTTCTTTCTTTTTTTTGTTTTACTTAAGAAATCTACCTAAGCAAATCAGCATCAACTAACAATTCCAACTCATACCATAAACATCATATCTGCAAAAGATAATATGGGTAGATTTGTTAAAAATTAATAATTCTTATAATAAAAAAGTTATTGATAAATCAGTTTAATCCAGTAAACTGCAGCTCAATATAGCACTATTAAACACTCAAAGTGCATACAATGTCACAGGGTCTACCAACAAGGCTCACATATATGTTTCTCTTACTAATTTACATCCTGCAGTAAAATAACATAACTTTATTGTCATAAACAATTTTATAAAGCTATTGGAAAACAAATACCTTGGTCATATCTAAAGCTGCGAACGGTTCGGTTTACATTTTAATTTGAACCAAAAATTTCAGGTATCCCAAATTCGTTAACTATGCAAAAATAAACATAACATAATAACTTATAATGACTTGTGGCTGAATGTGTGTTGCGAAGTAAAAATGCTGGAAGGATCCTGTTTCTATATACATGAAGTTATAAAGGATTTTAGACATTTAAAAATCTGTTATAATAATAATAATAATAACAAATTTATTAGTCACGTTATAACGGATTTCAAAAATGTTAAAAGTCGTTATAACATGTATTTAATTAGGTTACACTTCGTTATAACGAGGTTCGACTGTGGTAACGAAGATCCATTTACAAATTATTTATTTATTAAAACAAATTCATTGCCGCAACCAACTTTTTAAGCACATACAAATTCTTATTGTTTTAGGCTCTAAACTACATCGCCTTTGATTAATTAAGTCTGTGCCCCCAGAGAAAACCCGTTCAATTGGGACACTAGTGGCTATATAAGTAATAGGTTTATTAGAAATTAATAAATCTAATCTTAAATAAGCAGAGTGCAAAAAATTAGAATACCGGGGATTGCCAAGTAGTCTCTAGCTATTCTTGATAAATTAGGATATTCCATTTCATGAGCCTAAAAAACAATTTTAAATGTTTTTTATATACTTGATATATAAGTAATTTATAATATTGTAAAGTCTTTACCTTCCAAAATGACAAAACATCTGTATCAAAATTTAATGGAGGACTGTTCAAATACATGTCAAGTTCATCTGTTTGAATGTTTTTACGTCTTTTGAGTATGTGAGATTCAAGTGTATTTGGTGTTTTGGTGGTTTGAATAGTAGTATTACACTCCTGGATTGGCATATATTCCATTTTCCATAAATCTGAAATTTTTTCTTTATACATTTCAATATAGTCATCAAATTCATTGTCTATGTAATACTGCATTTTCAGACGAGGGTCCATGACTATTAAATATTTATAGCAATTAACATTTTATATTTTATTAAAATAAACAAACAAATATAGATGTGTATATTTATATGCATACTGGTTGCAACTATGTAAACTAACCCATCCGAAGTTGGGTAAAATTTTTGCAATTTATCTTTAGCTTTCTCTGCTGCACTACAAATATCTTCTGGATGTTGTAACTCAAGAAAATCTTCAATTAAATCAATCAAGTAATTGTATATAGGAACCGATCGTCCTAAAGTAGGATAATGAGCATTACTAATTTCGGATGTCGCAATCTGAAAGCACTATAAAAAATAAAAATTAATAAATACACCTTTGAAAATTTAAAAATATAAATCAAACTATATACCTCCAATAAATTAGAAATTTTTTCAATTCTTTGCCAATCATTATCGGATAATATGTATGATTTAAGTTCTTTGTCAGCTGAGACCATATTATGAAGTGGCTAATAAAAAAAATGAAAAGAATTAATTTTTGAGAAAGTTCACAAATTAAATATTAAAACAATAATTTTACCTCACGTAGAAGTAATGCACGTTTCATCATCTCAAAACTAGAATTCCAACGAGTTTTGATGTCAGGGATCAATTGCAAATCATTAATATTTAATGCAATGCATTGGCGACTAAAACGTTCACGTCGTTGTGGAGAGCTTCTTATTTTAACAACTAGCTTTCTAAGCTATAATAAAAATGATTTTAATTAATAAAATAGTAAAAAGTTAATAAAAAAATTTTCATTTTACCTTCTTGATAACATTAATTTTGTCATCATCTTCTTCATCTAAAGCATCATCTTCTTTTTCTGGACCCATTCCTTTAAGTGATTTTAAGGCTTCTTGAGCTGCCAAGTTGATTATATGGGCCAAACAGCGTATTCTTTGGTTCCCTGCATCAAAATGAATTCCTTCACTACAAAAAGCCTGTTCCAAACAATTAAACATTGAATTCATATTGCTTGCATTGTCTGTGGCTATGCCTAAAATCTACATAAAAAAAAAAACAATTGAATAATTGAAAAATTTTCCAAATTACACATACATAGAATAATTATGATTTTAAAATTAAATATTAATCATGATTTTTCATTTAATTATTAAATAACTAACTTTTGTTAAAATACCAAATTCTTTCAAAACTTTAAAAAATACTTCAGACATGTTCTCACCAGAGTGAGAACCCTCTAAGTGACAAAAATCCAGAAGAATGCTTTTGAGCTCCCAATCTTTTGAAATCCAATGTGCTGTTATACCAAGGAAAGGAACTTGATTCTTTGACGTCCAAGAATCAAGTGTAAATGAAATTTGTCCAGGTACTTCTTGAAGTAGATTCTTTATAAAAATTAGATTTTCATTGAATGATTTAAAAATATTGTTACGTATAGTATCAGCAGAAAAAATTTTTGCTTCAGGTTTAAGTCTTTTGATCATAGTTTTAAAGAAATTACTTTCAATGACTGTAAAAGGTTGATCAGATGTAACAATCCATTTGATTAAATCATTATTCCAACTTTCTTGAGTAAATTTCTTACCAAAATCATTAATTATTTTTTAAAATATTAATATATATTGATTTTGAATTTGTATTCTATTAAATATAAATGATTAAAATTATACATACTAATTTATTTTCTGATTTTAAAAAAATATCAATTGGTCCAACTTCTTTACTAAATAAATTTGCATGAGACTTTTTTAAATGGTTTTTAAGAGTTGACGTCGAACCATCCCTTTGAGCTTTGTACAATTTACTAGAATATTCATTAAACAATTATTATTTCATTTTTTTCTATCCAAAAAAAAATATTATTGACTTATAGATTTTACCTGCAATGGTTACATTTATATTGATTTGTTTGTTTATTTAAAGTGAAGTTATTATGAACAATTGATCTATGCATATTTTTTTTTTCTATTTCGGTAATGGTAGATTCGTTAATGGTAAATTCGTTAATGGTAGATTTGGTAATGGTAGAATCCTCAGAAATAATAGAACCTTCAGCAATAATAGTTGCTGCTTCAAATTCTGAAAAGGCCTCATTATTTGCATCATAAAAGAATTCATTATCCATTGATATAAATTTTTTTATTATAAATATATAACAAAAAAAATTTTCACACGCGCGCGCACATTTTTTTTTGATAAACCAAATAAGGAATTTATATACAATATCTCTATAACGTATATCTTTCTATAATAATAATGCACTTCCCCGATTCTTTTTTTATATTTTTTATAATTAATTTTTCTCTCTGAAAATAAATACAGAAATACACATGATAACAAACCAATGTTTTTTTATTATCTACTTATTAAAAATCATCTCTATAAGCCGATTTTATTAAGTTTTTTAAAACTGAAGATTTTTTTTGTGACTTTGGTTTAACAAGATCTGCATGTATAACAAACATCTTCTATTAACGAAACTTTTCATAATATAAATATGAAGATCCAGCCAAACCGAAAAAGTTCGGTTCGGTTCGGTTTGGTTTCGGTTTGACTTTTTATAAACCGAAACCGAACCGAACCGAAACCGAACCGAAATTTTTCGGTTTGAACCGAACCGTTCGGAGCTTTAATTATAATAAAAAATTTTTTGTCAGTCATGATTTAGATCTAGAAAAAAAAAAAATAAAGAAATAAAATATAGATATGTTAAAGTATTGAAAATCATATGTTTTATTCTCCAAAAATATGGCTTTTATATTATATAATTTTAAAAATTTTTATTATGTAAATTTTTGAAAAACACAAAAATACTGTAAGCATTTTAAAATTTAATAAAGTACTAGAAATATAAAAAACAAATTTTATATGAAAATAAAGAATCTAGGCTATCTAGTAATAAAAATTTATGTATTTTTATTAAAGGATCTTACATTAAATAAAAAATTTCTCCCAAACCAACAATCATATTTGAAGTCTCAATTGATTACCAAATAGAAATGCAAATACTTAACCATAAAAAGTATTCAGCCAAAGATGGATTTGAAAACAACAAGCAACTGAACATAATTGCCAGGGCAATATTAATTTATCTGAAATTGTAGAATTTTGAAACAAATTGGCTACTATGATGAATGTAAAGATGTCAATAATTTAGTATTACAAGGATCATTGCTGATTCTATTCAATCCAAATCATAAAAATGATGAAATTTGCGTTTATCCAACTACAAATGATTTTGTTAAATGACTTCAACAATTAATCAAAGTTGGATTCAAGCTGACAAAATCTGTCATGGCTGATATTTTAATTTTGTATGAACAACACCTTAATGAAATTGGAGGGACACTCTTAGAAGCCTTTCAGGTTGTTAGGAGTCTGACAAAACTTGAAATTATTGAATGTTGTGTTGTAGAAACTATCAAAATCAACAGGAATTTGAAAAACATCAAATTCTAAATTTTCTAAAGATGCAAATTGAAGAAAATAATATGAATTAAGGATACCGACTGCAACTTTTGGTGGTGATTGCTACCACCTTTGCGTCATATAAAATGTTTGCAACTGCCTTTATGACCATTTTGTTTCTTTTTTTGGATTGCAACATGGAACACTAATTTGAATTGCATGAAATTCTAAAATTTCATTTTTTAAAATTATAAATAGGAAATTGCTAAAATTTCATTTAAAAAAATAAATTTATATACAACGTATAATAATAAAAAAACGCGTGCTTGGAATTCAAATTAGCCAATCAGAATTTTGTATCCCCAAAATTTTAAAAAAACCATTT